TGTGTGTGTGTGTGTGTGTGTGTGAAGAAGAAGACGAGAGAGAAAGAGAATGTTTTGTGCGGATGCGCGTGTGCGTGCTAATGAGTGAAGCGCGCGCGTGTGTGTGTGTTAAAGTGTGAATGGTGGGTGGTTGGCAGGTGCTCTGGTGTGTTTTGCTCCTTCTTTCACCTCAAATCTTCTGGCGCTCCTATGACCTTATGCAGTTGCGAGTAAAACTTGTGAATATTATGCGTCTCTGTGTGTATTTGTTTTATTGTTTTCTTTTCTTTCTTTTTTTTTTGGGGGGGGGGAGGAGGTGAGTTTTCCTGGGTGGAATTGGAGTGTTTGCGAGGGTACTAAACCTGTGCAATGACCTGTTTTGGCGATCAGTGGTTAACCCTGTGTCTACGCTGACTTATTCTGTCATATATCCATTTCTAGATACAGAACACTCGTGCTTCGTGGGTGGTTGGCGGGTGCTCTGGTGTGGTTTGCTCCTTCTTTCCTATAAAAAATCTATCGCCCTTATCTCCCCTTCTTCTTTTTTATGTTTGTTACTCTCTTGTAACTCCTCTAATCTTCTGGCGCTCATATGACCTTATGCAGTTGCGTACGTCGTACAAAAAAAAACTCTACTAAAACTAAAACTAACTCGTGCTTGTAGTCCCTGTCGTCAGTACTGTTTGTTGTGCTGACTTGCTATTTTGGTATCAGTTTCGCCCCCGATTCTCAGAAGTGTACAAGTAGGGTGACCCCGTAGCTCGCTCAATGTAACCCCAGTATTTCGAGTGTTCATACGTTCCTTTTCCTAGTCGTTAGGAGAGTGTTTTCTTTGTTCTCCTCTTTCCTTGGTTGTTTGTTTTTTTTGTATGGATTTCTTGACGCCATCTACAAACGTTTTTACTTTTTCTCCGTTTTGACAGTTCAAAATTCTCCCCGATGTCTGTGGTGTAATGGTTCGGCTTTCTGTCTTGCATACTAAAGACTTGAATGCAATTCCCGTGATTTGGTTTGGGGGGGGGGGGTGTTTGCTTGCTGAGCTGCTGTTTTTTTTTCCTGCTGGTTTCGTTTTCGTTTTCACCACAATTCTTGAAACTGTAGAAGCTGGATTTGGAAAACCCAAGGCAGGGTCATGCGATAATTATACCTTACTCAGTTGCTAGTAAATTTAACGTGTGAACATATTTTTGTTTTTTTGTTGCATAGCGCCGACTGGAAGTTTTTGTTCTTTCTTTTAAACAGTTGATTAGGATTTTAGTACTAATATAGTGGATGCAAGGTGGGTTTTTATTGTTTCTAAGTTATTATCTAAAATAACAATTTTTTTGACTTTATTACAAAACGCACGTCTTTGTAACTTGGAAGAACTTCTTAGTAACTTAACTTAGGGGATCTTTTATATTACTAAGGGCTTGTGTTGTAGAAATGATAAATAGATTTTCATTTCAACCACGTTTATTTTTTTAATCATTTTTTTTTCTTCAAAGTAAAAGTTTGTTCTTCCTTATTGTAGTCTTTCCCCCACCCCAAAATACCCCACCAATACCCATGTACTTTTGGAAGTGTAAACTGAACAGGTTTATAGCGGTTTGCCTTTTTTTTAATTTATAAAAGAAAATATATATTTTTTAAATATTCCAGAGTCTGTGAGTGGGTGGTTGACGGGTGCTCTAGTGTGGTTTTCTCCTTCTTTCCTATCAAACCTCTATCGTCCTTGTCTCCCCTCCCTCTTTTTTATCTTGTTTTACTCCCTTGTAAAACCTCTAATCTTCTGGCGCTCATATTATGACCTTATGCAGTTGCGAGCACCGTTAAACTTCTACTAAAAATAAACTAAGAGTCTGCGATGTAATGGTTTCACTCTTCACCTAGTATACAGAAGACATGAGTTCAGTTCCTGCGGAATGGGGGGGGGGGGGGGAGAGAGGAGTTTATTTTCTTTAGCGCCCCCTTTTTTCTGCAGGTGTGCCATATCCTTCTTAGCCCTTGTTGGCCCCTGATAGACAGAGTCGAAGCAGTGGGTGGTTGGCGGGTGCTCTGGTGTGGTTTGCTCCTTCTTTCCTATCAAACATCTATTGTCCTTATCTCCCCTCCTTCTTTTTTATGTTTGTTACTCTCTTTTAACACCTCAAATCTTCTGGCTTTCATATAACCTTATGCAGTTGCGAGCGCCGTAAAACCTCTACTAAAACTATTAAGTACCACCTCTTGTAGCCCCTCTTTCTTTACTGTCCCTTTTGTGCTTCTGTTTATCGTGTTTGTTTGTTCCAATGTAAAATAGCACCATTGTGACGGTGGTTTTCTCTTCAATTCATGCTACAAAATCAACATCAGCAACAACAAAAACAACATCAGCAACAACATCAACAACAACTCGACAACAACAGCATCAACATTGCTACAAATCAGCAACAACATCCCTACTCGTAGGTTGTTGGCGGGTGCTGTGTTGTGGTTTGCTTCTTCTTTCCTATGAAACATTTATTGTCCTTATCTCCCCTTCTTCTTTTTTATGTTTGTTACTCTCTTGTAACACCTCTAATCTTCTGGTGCTTATATGACTTTATGCACTTGCGAGCGCCGTAAAACCTCTACTAAAACTGTTTGCTTGTCCAAACATAAAAATAAAATAGGGCCATTGTGCTAGTGGTTTTCTCTTCAATTCAAGCAGCAACAAGAGCATCAATAGCATTGCAACAAATCAGCAACAACATCAACATGGCATCTCTTTGGGGTGGATTCAGGGAGATTGGACTGCCTCACCCGCTACCCTAGAGAGGCGGTGGTCCTGGCGAAGACCACACTCTTTGGGGCTCCAAACATTTCGAACGGATAGGCTACCACACACACACACAACATCAACATCATTAACAACAACATCGACGACATCAACCCCAACATACTTAACTACAACAACATCAACGACAACTCAACAACATAAACATCATTAACAACAACATCAGCAACAACATGACGTCCCTACTCAGAGCCCTATATATTTGGGTGGTTTGCGGGTGCTCTGGTGTGGTTTGTTTTATGATTGTTACTCTCTTGTAACACTTCTAATCTTCTGGCGCTCATATGACCTAAAGCAGTTGCGAGCGCCGTAAAACCTCTACTAAAACTAAACTAAACTAAAAACCCTATAAATATCTCTTTTCCTTCCTCAGGGCCCCGATCAAAAGACTGTTTGAGAGAAAGAAACGACAGGCCCATGTTACGTTTGTCTATTTCTTCAAAATTGGTAAGTAATTCTTCTGATACTGGAAGGTGGTTGGAAGGGCACCCTCTTTTTTTTCAATGGGATAAATGTTTGTCTTTGCTTCTTCTTCTTTCCTATCGAACATCTATCGTCCTTATCTCCCCTTTTTCTTTTTTATGTTTGTTACTCTCTTGTAACTCCTCTAATCTTCTGGTGCTCATATGACCTTATGCTGTTGCGAGCACCGTAAAACCTCTACTAAAGCTAAAACCAACTTACTCTCAGGGGTGGGTGGTAGTGGTTGTGGACAGGTTCAACTTCTTTTCTTCCTATCTGCTTTTTCTCTTGGGTCTTTCTTGCCTTTTTCCCCTGCACTAAACGACCGCTATTGCACCTGTGTGCTTCTCTTTAATGTAAGCAAAATGAACAAACAATCTCGGATAACTTGAACAATATATTTGCCACGACACAGTGAAATCAGGCGCTTGTCAAGGAGTTATTGGTATCATCTTAAAATTTGTTCATTTGTCTTGCTTTTAATGAAAAAACATGCATTCATCTTGAAAACACATGATACCAACCTGGCGTCGTCGTCCAGTGTGCGCGCGACGGCCCACGGCGAGAACTGGTCAAGTGGCGAGGGAAACCCCGCGCGACGCCAAAAATAGATGGCCGAAATACGTCTCTATATTTCAGCCAATCACGGAGATGTGCTACATGCTCGCTGTAGCTTCAGCGCTTGAAAACAAGTCGATATATTGGCGACTGAAGAAGGTGGGGGTCGCCTGGTTTCAAGGGTAAAATTAGCGTGAAAGTGGTTTCCAAAGTTAGCTATTCCCTTAGCTTGAGAGTCCGTGGAAACTGAAAATTTACATTTTTTTTGCTTTTGTCGTCGTTTTTCAGTATAATCAACACATAGATCTAAATGTGTTCTTTTATGGACATAAAAGAAGTTGATCCAAAAAACACAAATTTGAAAAAAAACCTCTATACCTGCGGAAAAATGCCAGTTTCTTCATTTTCATTATTTTGACCAGCATTTGATTTCACCACACTGCCTAACATATGAGCTTGTGTTTTAGGTAGAAAATAGGGTAAAAATTAGTCTACTTCAGCCCCTAGCACCATTACATAAAATCATCGTTCACATATGATTTCTTTGCTACCTGCCTGTTGGCCCCGCAGACAATGGAGTACCCCCGGAGCAGTGCCACTGACTGTAGTGTCTTTAGGCCATTCCCAAAGGGGGGACATTTCTCATTCTAATGCATAGTAGAATTGTAAATGGGCTGATCCAACAATGTCATGCTCATAACTGTGCCTGAACTACAACAGGGAACTGCTGCTTTTTCTTTCCTAATCTTTACTATCGTCATTTTCCTCTACTTCTTTTGTATGTTTGTCACAATCTTGTGAACTGCTATTTTCGGGGTGCCTTGATAGTCGAAGCAGACTTTGTGTTGTTGAGGCTAGAGAGGTGATCAGAGTAAGTCTGATTCCCTGTAAGGACTTCTCAGTTGACATCCACCCCTTAGCGCTCATATGACCTTATGAAGTTACGAGCGCTGTAAAACCACTACTAAAACAAAAACAAAGACAATGGAGGCCTAGAATGTACACTGTAGGCCGAGTACTGTACTCTGCTTTTTTTTTTGGTTTTTAAAAAAAAATTACTTTTTATTTATTTCATTTGCTTTTTTTGTATGTGTGAATGTTTTGAATTCACGATTTGAGTCGCTCTCTGTTCTAACGCAGTTGCACCCCCTTTAACATTTTGCAAACGATTTGAATTTGTAAATTCTTTAAAAATTGTGAAAATTGCAAATTCAAGTTGCAAGTGAAAAATACCCTTATACAGTTAGTTTTGAGCAATGAGCTGAAGCAGATCTTTACCCAAAAACCAGCATGTGTGTATTTTAGTGTTTTGTGTTATTATGCATTTGTTATGATTGTCTTATTATGCTTGTGGGTGGTTGGCGGGTGCTCTGGTGTGGTTTGCTTCTTCTTACCTATAAAACATATATCATTCTCATCTCCCCTTCTTCTTTTTTATGTTTGTTACTCTCTTGTAACACCTCTAATTTTCTGGCGCTCATATGACCTTATGCAGTTACGAGCGCCGTAAAACCTCTAGACCCCCAGTGGGTCGGGGGATATAAATAGACACACTGCTTCGTCTGCAGAAGGTACTACCCCTTCAAAGGCGAAGTGTCGCACTTGGACCCCAACCCTCTGCGATCTGGATGCGACACCTGCTTTGGTGTATCGTACTCTTCTCTTTCTTTCTTCTATCTTTTCTCCCACCGCTGACCTCATGAGCAGCAAAAAGAGAGGTCACCCCTCCCACAGAGTGGGCGGGGGCTCTCGTGGCCTAGAGGTTAAGGTGTTGGCCTCTCATTCAAAGGTCCCGGGTTCGATTCTGGGTAGCGACCAAAAAATTTTCTTCTCTAAAATTGTCTCCTTTCACATCCTTTCCTGATCTCTAACAATGTTCTGTTGTCTGCTTTCATTTCCACTTTCTGCCCCCACCCCCTCACCTCCTTTGCCCCCTCCTGTGGGCTCCTGACTCTTTCTGCAGCCTTTCTACTGCTACTCCTTGGCTCCTCCTAACTGCTGTCTTTCTGCCACACCCCTGATCTCCTGGTAGGAAAGATCTACACCTAGCCTTCTCGGACAAGGGCGAAAAATCTCGGAGGGCCCGTGTGCAAGTTGCGCAAGTTAAAGATCCCTTGGTGGTCTAAAATCGATAAGAGTAGGCTTCGGCCGCCACCCGGGCAAAATTCAAAATTTCCTACCAACGAAAAAGTATTAGGTGTGTCCCGCGCGCTCATATGACCTTATGCAGTTGCGAGCGCCGTAAAACCCTATACTAAACAAACAAACAAACAGAGTGGGCGCCTCGTTGACCGCGAGGTGCGACCCGTGCGGAGGGAAACCGGGTACCTGGCGGTTGAGGTGAGATCAGTCTACGGACTGTCCCTTGCCAACACACCTCTTTGGCCCAGGTTTTCCTCTTAGATGGGAGGGTGGCACGGCCCATGCCACTCAATCGGTTGAGAGTTGAAACCCCATCGAGTCCTGGGTCAATCTTGACGGGAGGATCTTGTACTTTCCCTTGAAGAGTATAGCTCTGGGGTAGCCGTGGCACAGCTCCGGTTATCCGAGCAATGTGTCCCCTTGTTGGGCTCGGTGGCGGGCAGGGAACCCTGGAGTCTAATCACCTAAAAAACTCTCATGGATTCTAAAACCGTTAAAGACCCTTCCCCAGCTCCCAACGTTAAAAAGTCTCGGCTCGCGGAAGCGGGTGCGGCCGCCGAGCCGAGCAAAAATTCTAAATATAGTAAAAGGACCTTTACCGATGCCTCCTTCCTCCCTCCTCCCAAGGAGCTTCTGAGGCAACCGTACGTGGCCATCTCCAGTACAAAAGACGCACAGAGAAGAATTACCGATCTCAACGTCTTTAAGACTGGAGATGCACTACAGAAAGTTCTGGGATACATTCCCACATGTGAACAGAAACTTTCCTGTGGTGAACTCCTTGTCAAGTGTGCAACTGAGAACGAAGTGACCAAACTCCTGGATACCACGACCTTCGGTGGTATTCCATGTAAGTCCGAGGACTACCAGAAATTTAACCGCTTGAAGGGCGTCGTCGGCAGCCATGAGCTGAAAGGCTGCTCCATGGAAGAAATTGTGGAGCACTGTGAGGGAGTGGTTGAAGCCCGCCGGATTACTCTTCGGCTGGGGGAGACTACTATTGAAACAAACACGATTGTCCTCACATTCGAATCGTGTCGCCCTCCAGCCACCGTTCGGGCATCCTACTTGGTACTCGATGTAACACCCTATGTGCCGAACCCCCTGCGCTGTTTCAAGTGTCAGAAGTTTGGCCATAGCCAGTCACGGTGCCATCACGCAGCCGTGTGTCCTCGTTGTGGCAAGACCGGGCATCCTGAGAAGGAATGCAAGGCTAGTCCTTGTTGCCCCAATTGCCACCGCCAGCACACAGCCTTCAGCAAGGAGTGCCCGACTTGGCTCCAAGAACGTGCCATCCAAGAATACAAGGCTCGAAATGGCTGCTCCTTCCAGGAGGCCCGTAAGGCTGTCTGCCCGCCAATCATAATCCCAGTCATTGGCCGGTCATACTCAAAGGCAGCCCAGGTGGTCACGAGGTTGGCAAGTAATTCTACTGCCGCGGCGCCGACTTCCCAAAGCTCGAGATCAACAGGCAAGTCTCTGTGCCAAAAAACAAAAAGGCCCCGACTATCCTTGTGGCAACCCCCTATGAAGTGCCACTTTCTAACCGCTATGGGGTTCTAGGGGAGGACGGGGAGGACTCTTCCTCCGCCCTCTTTTCTCCCCCTCACCCCTCTTCTATCACACTTTCTTCTTCTTCTTCTTCTTCTTCTTCTTCTTCTTCTTCTTCTTCTTCTTCTTCGACCTCACAGCTCATCCCTCTGATGAGGTGTGAGGTGAGCCCTCTCAGCCCCCTCCCATCTGCCCCACGTCCCCTTACCCCTCCAGCAGACAAACCCCTGCCTATGGAGGAGGACAGCTCCGACCCCCCTCCCCGGCCTGACCCCGTGAAAGGCGGAGTCTGTCACTCCTCCAAGTCCCCCACTAGACTGCCGTCCAATCCAAGACGGCAACCTAGAAAACACTCTGCCTCCCCCACAAGGAGGAGTCAGAGTGTTTCTTCGAAGCCGGGGCCTTTGAGCTCCAAAATCAAAACTAAAAAGACATAATGACGGTCCTGCAATGGAATGCCGGCGGAACCCGACCTTCCATTGCAGAATTGCAACACCTACAGGCCACACTGCCCACGTGTGGCCTGTATTCAAGAAACAAAATTCGCGCCGGCTTCAACCATAGACTTAAGAGGATTTACTGCGTACCATCACATTCACACGGAGAACCAGATTGCTTCCGGTGGTACCACCATCTGTACACCGACAACAACACACTCCACAGACAAATACGTTTTAAGACGACCCTCCAGGCTATTGTCGTACTGGTCACTCTGCACAGACCAATCACGATCTGCTCAGTTTATATCCCACCAAATTACCCCCTTAAAATAACCCAACTAAATAACTTAAAGGCTCAGCTTCCAAAACCCTTTATTTTGCCAAGTGATTTAAATGCCCACAGCCCCCTTTGGGAAGACAAACCTACAGACCAGAAAGGAAAAATAATAGAAGATTTTTTATTTCAAAATAACATCTGTCTCTTAAATGATAGGTCCCCAACTTACAGAAACAGAGCCACTTATGGCTCTTCATCCCTTGACCTCACCTTTTGTACCCCTGACCTTGTCCCAGATCTTGAGTGGTCTGTGCTGGATGACCGTACGGACCATTTCCCAATGCTTCTCAAAAACAATAGCCTCCAAAACGACCAGATTCCAGAACGCTTCAACTTCAAAAGAGCAGACTGGAATGGGTTTGCCAATCAATGTTCCCAGATTCTGAACCCCACTTTCGACCTCAACTACAATAAATTCCACGAAAAGCTTTTAGAAATATGCCAAAAACAAAAACAAAACCCCGGAGGAACAAGATCTGGTTCTCTGAGAAATGTGAGGATGCAGTAAAGAAAAAGAAGGCGGCGTATCGAAAGGCCGTCAACAACACCACCACAGAAAACAAAATTAATTATTTAAAGGCTCGAGCTGTGACACGTAGATGCCTCAGGGAGAGCAAAAGACAATCATTAAAAAAATACACCTCCAAAATCAACAGCCAGACACAACTCAAGCAGGTTTTCAAAATCGCAAAAAAATTCTTGGGTAGACGCTCAGACACCATTCGGCACGTCCAGAGGCCGGATGGAACCACAGCTGAAACACAAGTAGACATCGCAAACACAATAGCTACATCTCTCGCCAAAAACTCATCCCAAGCAAACTACAACACCACTTTTCAAAACATCAAAACTAACAGATAACAACAACACCTTAACTTCCACTCAAACAACACTGAAACCTACAACGCAGACTTCACAATAGACGAACTAGCATCGTGCATCTTGGACCTGTGCAACACAGCCCCGGAACCGGATGACATCCACAACCAGATCATTAGACACTTATCCTCAGAAACACTTACACTCCTACTTGACATATACAACAACATGTGGCGGTCGCACTCCTTTCCGGAGTCTTGCCGTCTCGCCACTGTCATTTAATACCCAAACCAAACAAAGACCACTCACACACATCCAATTACAGACCAATAGCACTTTTTTAGCTGTCTGTGCAAACTTATTGAAAAAATGATTCACAGACGACTCATGTGGTTTCTGGAAACAACGGGCTGGCTGAGCGGTCTCCAGTGCGGATTCAGGAAAACTCTATCCACTCTGGATCACCTGGTCCGCCTGGAGACCTTTATACGCAAGACGTTCGCTGAAGAAGGCCACATGATTGTCATCTTTTTCGACCTAGAAAAAGTCATCTCTTTCGACCTAGAAAAAGCCTTCGACACAACCTGGAAGTACGGCATTCTCCGAGATCCGCACGCCCTCAGCATATGCGGTCACCTCCCTGCCTTCATCGGCAACTTCCTGAAGAACCATTCCTTCCAGGTTCATGTCGGATCCTCCCTTTCAGACCCCCACCAACAGGAGGAAGGAGTCCCCCAGGGGAGCATCCTTTCTCCTCTCCTATTCGAAATCAAAACAGATTCCATCCCTTTAAAACAGCATAGACAGCTCGTTATACGTTGGCGACTTTCTGATATGCTGCCGTTCGAAAAATCCTCATCTGAGATCTATGGAAAGGCAGCTGCAAACGCAGCTGCACAAACTTGAAAAGTGGGCAAACGATAACGGTTTCAAGTTCTCCCTGTCAAAGACGGTTGCAGTACACTTCTGCCGAACAGGCAGACGTGTGCTGCAACCGGATTTGACACTATACGGGGAAAGGATTCCAGTCCAGGACCAAGCTCGTTTCCTCGTCGTTATATTTGACAAAAAACTCACATTCATACCACACATCAAAGACCTTCGTGTGAGGTGCCAAAAAGCGCTAAACGCTTTGAAAATTCTATCGCATCCGTAGTGGGGCGGGGACTCAAAACACCTTCTCCACCTGTACATCTCCCTTGTCCGGTCCAGGCTTGACTACGGCTGTCAAGTCTACGGATCAGCAAAATCACACATCCTGAAAATGCTAGACCCAGTACAAAACCAAGGTCTCCGCCTTGCTCTGGGGGCTTTCCGCACTTCCCCGGTGGAGAGCCTCCAGGCCGAGGCAAACATACCACCACTCTCTTTCAGACACACACAACTCTCACTACAATACGAAATTAAACAGAACTCAACCCCAGAAAATCCAGCGCACAACTGCATTTTTAAAACAAACCCAGAAACCAGAAACAAATTCCAAAACAACGAAAAACTCATCAAACCCTTTGAATCCTTGAGGACCTCAAAACGTACACTGTTCCAAATGAGACATCCAAAAATTTTCTTTTCCCTGACCTTCCTCCTTGGCACCTCACCAAGGCAAAAGTAGACTTACAGCTGACCACACACAACAAACAAAACACAAACACCAAAACTTTTAAAGCAGAATACAAAAAACTAATAGAAAAATACCGTGGTGCGAAGCTCATCTTCACGGATGGCTCCAAAAAAGACAATAATGTGGGCGCCGCAGCCCTATCTTCCAACAGTACACACCAGAGGAGACTCCATCCTGAAGCCTCCATTTTTTCTGCAGAGGCCACTGCCATTGACATGGCATTGGACTCCGTAGAAAATTCTCCTAACAAATCTTTCCTTATCCTCTCTGACTCTCTGTCTTGCATCACCTCACTCACAAACTACACACTCCTACACCCAAAAATAGTTAGGCTACAACAGAAAATTCACACCCGGTCTGAAACAGGAAAAAATATCATATTCGCATGGATACCTAGCTAGCCATGTGGGCATCCGAGGAAACGAGCAGGTAGACGACCTGGCCAAGAAATCCTCATCCCTTCTGTTGGGATCAACGACGAACACTCTCCCACCGACTGACTTTAAAAATAAAGTAAAAAAGTACACCTCCAGTTTGTGGGAGAGCAAGTGAACAAAACAGGAAAATACCAAACCGTATAATATAAAACCCAAACTGGAACCGCGAAATCCTTCGGACCTCTCCAGAAGAGACGAAGTCATTTTGCACATCGGACACACGGCCCTGACGCACAAATACCTGCTACAGGGAGATGAGAAGCCGTTCTGTGTGGAGGATGCGACAGAGATGTTACCATTAGACACATCTTAACCGAATGTCTAGACCTTCAAATGCAAGAAATTGCAAGACGTTTTTTCCTTCATTGGTCCCAACAGAATCTTGGATTTTATGAAGGCCATTGGCCTTTATGGGAAATTATAAAATGAAACGATATTGTTAAAAAATCTTATTGTTATTTATTAGAGTTGTTTTAAATTGAAAATATTTTTACACCAAATTTTTAATGTTTTAACTTTTAAGATCAAATAACCCATACACAGCCGTGCAGTAAACCACGGACAAAAACAACAACAACTTGTGTTTCGCGCTCTCATATTACGTTATGCAGTTGCGAGCGCCATAAAACCCCATACTAAACAAACAAAACCTCTACTAAACCAAACTGACTGTTTTGTCTGGTCCTCAGTTCATGACTACATCACATTCTACGGCCAGGATGGGATGGACAAAGAGGTCTTTGTGAAGTACAGACTCTCCAAAGTCAGAGTGAGTAGGGGGTTGGAGGGTGTTCTTGGTGTGGGCTATCTTTCTTGTTCCTCATCTCCCTGGCGTTTCTCCTCCTCCTCCTCCTCCTCCTCCTCCTCCTCCTCCTCCTCCTCCTCCTCCTCCTCCTCCTTCTCATCCTCCTCCTCCTTCTTCTTCTTCTTCTTTATTCTCCTCTTTCTCTTCTTCCTTCTTCTCCTCCTCTTCCTCTCCTTCCTCTTTCCTTCCTCTTCCTCTTCCTCCTCTTTTTGCTCCTCTGCTTTTTGTTTCTCCCATATCATTCTATTCTCACCTCTTCCCCTTCTTGGTGTGCAAATGTCGTTGGTTTCAGTGAGCGGTTGGAGGACACTGCTGGTATATCTTAGCCTTTCTCCTTTTCTTACCCTTTGTTATTTCTGTCTTTCATACATTTTCTCTGAGGAAAATAGCTTATCATTTTAATGTGCTTCTTTTTTCTTACTCAAACATTCTATTTAATCTGTTCACCTGTTAGTGATATGATCCACCATGTCTTCAGTAATTTCTTTAGGGATAGCTTTTGTTCTCTTTTTGACTTAATAGTTAATACTGCTGCTGCTGGTGATGATGATAATGATGATAATAATAACAGTGATAGCAATAATTAGTAGGGACAACAATGACATTAACTGTCATAATGATGATTACTATTAAAAAGTTTAATGAATATATAGAGAGCCTAATATATACAGGGTTATACAAAAAACTATAACTTTTTTGTAAATATTTTCCTCCAAACTCCACACTGAAGTTTTGCGTTTCAAATTTGCACACAACATTTGGAAGTCAAAAGGAATTTGTCTGATTTTCGTTTTAGATAAATCCACAGAATAATTTTGCTCTGCATAGCGCGTAAAAAAACCGATGCATTTTCAGCTATGTCCCCATTTTTGTAGCATGACACACTAGTTCGCCTTAGGCCTACCGCTAATAGTCCCAATGATTGCACCATATTGCAAGCTACAGTAGTCTAACAGGCCAACAGAAGTTTGCAGATAGTTTTTCTCAAGTTTCTTTTGGCTGCTGAGATCATGGTTAAGATAAGTGATGAGCAGAGAGCTTTTTGTGTTGAACATTTCCTCACCGCTAACTCATTTCGCACAAGGTACGGTAACAATGTTAAAGTGCCCTTAATGCCTTCTTTGATGTCAAGGGAGGAAATGGTCCATCAGTTAGGACATGTTGAGAATCAGAACAAAAAATTCCCAGACAGAACGACCACTTCTGATCAAACACACACCGTTCGCACCCCTTCAAACATCACCAACGTGCAGAATTCGGAAGATTAGCCGCCTAGCCGCATGAGGCGGCTGTTTGTAGACGATGTCTGCAGCAGAACTTTCTTACATCTCAACAGTCCACATCTAATTGCCTCTACTCAAGACAATAATTAGAGCAAACATGAAACTATTACCGAATGGCATCATGCAGAAGAGTTAACGCTCAGATGCTACTGGATCGCTAACAACAACAACAACAACAACAGTCCACATTTTCAAGTCGGATCTTTTTTTACGACTGTACCATTTTCCTGTTCGTGAAGCTGACATGAATCAGAGGCCACTCATATGACCGTATTCAGTTGCGAGCGCCGAAAAACCTCTACTAGAACTAAAACTAAAACTCTCTTTCTTCTTCCCCTCCCCCCTCGCAGGCCAAACAGAAGTACGAGATAGAGACAGACTTTGCCCTCAAGTATCTCCGCCGCGAGGGCCTAGATAGATCAGAGCAGCTGGAGAAGGAGTATCTCATGCATTCCATTGCCCAGCAGGCTTCGTGAGTATCTTCTTTGTCTGGATGGGTGGAAAGCACCATGGGCCGGTCCTATTTTTCTTTTCATTTTAAATTTTCTTTTTTTTTTTTCCTTTTCTCTTTTCTTTTTTTCTTTTTTTTTTTCCTTTTCTTTTCTTTTCTTTTCTTTTCTTTTCCTGTGTTTTGTCTGTCTGCTTTTCTTACTTTTTGCTTCCAATAAATGACTATCATTTTGTGCGGGTGCTCTGGTGTGGTTTGCCTCTACTTTCCTATCAAACATCTGTCGTCCTTATCTCTCCTCCTTTTTTTTTTTTTGTATTTGTTACTCTCTTGTATATAATTTTAAGAGGGAAATGTGAGATGAAGTTGGTTTGATACATTGATTGTAAATTGCTGATGACTTGCTTCTATTTGTAGTAAAGCATTGAAGAAACTGTCAAATCTGTCTATGAAAAGAGATGTGGCCATGTGCTCAGGCAGAAACACATTTACTTGCCAGAGGAATGCTATCCCAGCAGCAACTTTGTGGCTCAGAACTTGGACTACAAACGCTGCTAAAACAGTATCTTTCAAGTCATAGAATATTATTTCTGAGGAATGATGTGATAATTTAATCTACATATTATGAGTGGCATGTAATCTCATTAATAACAGACTTACACATGTATCGCATTTGCTTGTACAGTATAGACAACAAAGTTATAAATTATGGTGACCCCTAGAAAAAGAAATTGTTCAGTTTTTCTTTCTCTCAATTTTATGATTTTCTCTAATTAGGCCTTCTGCTATTGAAGGGTTCTCATATTCTAGTCAGTCATGGGGTCTAGTATTATTTTTTATATTGTTCTTCATTCTTTGATGTGATACTTATTCCAGAATCCATAGATTTATCCTTTCCAGTAATCATGCATTCTATATGTGTACATGTGGCATCGGTGGCCTAGTGGTTAGGCTCTCGGACTCGCAACCGTAAGGTCGTGGGTTCGAATCCCGTCATGGGCCCGCCGACGTTGTGTCTTTGGGGTAGGCACTTTACACGAATTTTCCTCACTTCACCCAGGTGGGAATGGGTACCCGGCTATAGACAGCGAAAGATCTTGTCATTTTGTTAGTGTTTGAGCGCTTAATCAGCTGCTTGCACTGAATGCTTCCCGGGAAGCTGAGAATGTTTCGGAGTGTTCTATGGTCTGCTGGGGTAATAATATAGTGTATAAAGCACATAGAGCCTGCTGTTGCACGGGGATATGCGCTATACAAATGCTATTTATTATTATTATTATTACCACTTTGTTTTAATTTGATTACCCAAAGAAATTCAATGATGTTTTTAAAATGTTCACCTCACTGCCGCTTTCCAGTCATGAAAATCTTAATTCTCAACTCACTATATTCAAAATGTGAACGAAAAAACAGTCAAAATAATTTCCAAACAGTTTACATGGAAAAAGACAAGGCAAAACAGCCATTAACATGTTTTCACTATTATTATTATTATTAGATAAATAGACAGACGGACCAATAGATAGACGGACGTGGCGGGTGGTTTGCGGGTGCTCTGTTGTGGTTTGCTTCTTCTTTCCTATCAAACATCTATCGTCCTTATCTCCCCTTCTTCTTTTTTATGTTTGTTACTCTCTTGTAACATCTCTAATCATCGGCACTTATATGACCTTATTGTGTTGCAAGCGCCGTAAAACTCTTACTGGGGGCTCTCGTGGCCTAGAGGTTAAGGTGTTGGCCTCTCATTTAAAGGTCCCGGGTTCGAATCCGGGTAGCGACCGAAAAATTTTCTTCTCTAAAACTGTCTCCTTTCACCTCCTTTCCAGCTCTCTAGCAATGTTCTGTTGTCTGCTTTCAATTCCACTTTCTGTCCCCACCCCCTCACTTCCTTTGCCCCCTCCTCTGGGCTCCTGACTCTTTCTGCAGCCTTTCTACTGCTACTCCTTGGCTCCTCACTGCTGTCTTTCTGCCACACCCTTCATCTTCTGGTAGGAAAGATCTACACCTTGCCTTCTCGGACAAGGGCAAAAAATCTCGGAGGGTCCGTGTGCAAGTTGCGCACGTTAAAGATCCCTTGGTGGTCTAAAATCGATAAGAGTAGGCTTCGGCCGCCACCCAGGCAAAATTCAAAATTTCCTACCAACTGAAAGTATTAGGTGTGTCCCGCGCGCTCATATGACCTATGCAGTTGCGAGCGCCGTAAAACACTTTACAAAAACAAACAAAAAAACTCTTACTAAAACTAAAAACGGATAGACAAACAGACTGACAAATGACAAGGTCACTAACTGCCCTTTTATTTCTCCTTTAGGCCCTTGCAAGAGTCTATCTACCGGGAGCGAGCATTCGTCAGCATTGAAAAGGAAGACTTCTGGTAGGGTGCTCCGGGTGTGCTGTGTGGGTGGTTGGCGGGTGCTCTGGTGTTGTTTGCTCCTTTCCTATCTAACGTCTATTGCCCTGTGTGGTTGGTGGGTGGTCTGGTGTGGTTTGCTCCTTTCCTATCAAACATCTATTGTCTGTGGGTGGTTGGCGGGTGGTGCTCTGGTGTGGTTTGTTTCTTCTTTCCTGTCAAACATCTATCGTCCTCATCTCTCCTCCTTCTTTTTTATGTTTGTTACTCTCTTGTAACACCTCTAATTTTGGCACTTATGTGACCTTATTTTGTTGCAAGTTCTGAAAATTTATTTAAACTAAACTAACTCTGTTAGATGAAAAATAAATTTGCGGTCTTGGATTGAGGAAAAAATAGTCTCAAGAGGCCTTCTTTTTTTTTTCTTAACCCCCCCTCTCTCTCTCTCTTTCTCTCTCTCTCTCTCTCTTTCTCTCTCTTTCTCTCTCTCTCTCTCTCTCTCTCTCCCTCTCCCTCTCCCTCCCCCCACATCTTCCCTGAAACACCCCCCCCCCCATCATTACTTCATTACTTTAAAAATAATATTAACAGTAATACAAACATGTATATAGTGTGTAACCATGCTCTACAACATGCTCTATGGGTGGTTGGCGGGGGTTCTGGTGTGATTTGCTTCTTTTTTCCTATCAAACATCTATCGTCCTTATCTTCCCTCCTTCTTTTTTATGTTTATTACTCTCATGTAACACCTCTAATCTTCTGGCGCTCATTTGACCTTCTGCAGTTGCGAGCGCCGTAAAACCTCTACTAAAACAAAAACAGCATGCTCTGTTGTTTCAAGCCTTCATTTTTTTCCCCAGCGTTAATTGGCCAGGTTTTGTTTTTTGTTGTCAATCCGTTTCTCTTTACTTCCTCAAATTCATTGCCGCTGATGTCTTTTCTGCTTCTGTGCACATTTTTTGAGTGGGTGGTTGGCGGGTGGTCTGGTGTGGTTTGCTCCTTCTTTCCTATAAAACAACTATGGTCTTTAGCTCTCCTCCTTTTTATGTTGGTTACTCTCTTGTATCACCTCTAATCTTCGGCACTTATTTGACCTTTTTGTGTTGCAAGTGCCGTAAAAGACTTTCTAAAACTAAAACATTTTTTGACCTTATAAGTTTTTAAAAAACTGCTGCAAAACCTGGTTCATTCTTTTTCCAGGAGTGCTGTTTGTGACTTCAGACGAGTGTTGGCCTTGAACCCAAACCTGCTGAGGGTAGGTCAAGTCGCTTCTAGCTGCCTTAACTGTAATCCTATCTGTCTTTCCTGTGTGGTGATTCCCCCCCGGGGCGGTGCCACTGACTGAAGTGTCTTTAGGCCACTCCCAAAGGGGAGACATTTTTCGTTCTAATGCTCAGTATCTAGTAGAATTGTAAATGGGCTGATCGAACACAATGTCACGCTCATAACCGTGCCTAAACTACAACGGGGAACTGCTGCTTTTTCTTTCCCAATCCTCACTTTTGTCTTTTTGTCCTCTACTTCTTTTGTATGTTGTTTGTCACACTCTTGTGACCCGCTATTTCCGGGGTGCCTTGATAGCCGGAGCAGACTTTGTGCTGTTGAAGCTAGAGAGGTGAGCAGGGTAAGTCTGATTCCCTGTATGGACTTCTCTGTTGACATACACCCCTTGGCGCTCATATGACCTTATGCAGCTGCGAGTGCTGTAAAACCTCTACTAAAACTAACTGCATGGTGATAATAAGAATAATGGTGACAATGATGTTAATGAAAACCATAACGTTTATAATAATACATATAATAGCAAAAATGGTAATAATAATTGTGACAATAGTAATGATAATTACAAAGTAATGATTACAATAGTATTGATAAACATAATATTGATAAACATAATATTGATAACAATAATATCAATAAATCCTTGGAGGGCACCTGTGCTAGGTCCTATTACTTTTTTTTCCTGTCCGTGTTTCTGTGTCCCTGTGTTGCTCTTTGCCGGCGCTCAATGACATTTGTCTTGTTGATGTGCTTCACTTTACTCTAGCTGAAGTAATGGTAATTACAGTACAACACAGATAGCTGGATGGGTGGTTGGCGGGTGCTCTGCTGGGGTTTGCACCTTCTTTCTTATTAAACATCAGTCGTCCTTATCGCCCCATCTTCTTTTTTATGTTTGTTACTCTCTTGTCACACCACTAATCTTCTGGAGCTCATATGACCTTATGCAGTTGCGAGCACTCTAAAACATCTACTAAAACTAATCAGAAAGCTCGAATTTGCCGGGGCCGGCCCCAGTAGTTCAATTGATCTGTAGTTTGAGGGATGTCTTACAAAGATAAGGAACCAAAAAAAAATTTTTTTAATGGAACGACAGGCACAGTTTGATGGATGTGGGGTTTTGAGTCTTCTGTGTTCAACCTATCCATGTTGTACTGTATATTACATGCATCCAGAAAGTTCATTTCACCAGTATTACGCCTGTGTGGTTGGCATGCTCTCTCTCTCTATCTATCTATCTATCTCTCTGTCTCTGTCTGTATGTTTGTCTGTCTGTCTGTCTCTCTCTCTCTCTCTCTCTCTCTCTCTCTTCTCTCTCTCTCTTTCTCTGTCTCTCTCTCTCTCTTTTCATGTGTTACTCTCTAGTAATAACTCTACACTTCAAGAATTAGTTGACCTAATTGTGTTGCAAGTATTAAAACTAAACCCTAACTGCCTCTCTACAGGTCCACTTTGAGATGGCTGGCTTATACCTGACCATGGGTAAACTAGACAAAGCCTTTGAGGCCAACCGACAGTGCCAGGAAAATTTCTCCCTCCCGACCTCCGCAGGGGTCGACTTGCCGGGTATCATGGCCCAGGCTAAAGCAATTGACAACGGTGAGTGTTGTCGAAGAATGGCGAATATAAAACTCTAATGGCTAAATGATGATGACAGCTCTAAATCACATATATATATATATATATACATAAATATATATATATATATATATATATATATATATATATATATATATATATATATATATATATATATATAGACCTATGTAAAACGGCCACCCATTGTCAAGGAGAAAAGTGGCCGTATAACACAGGGGGACATCTTAGGCAGGCCTGATCAAAATGAAGGAAGCAAAATCATTCTCTTCTGAGGTCGAAACGGGGCTGATCTCAGGCTTTAGACTGCTGTAAGGCTAATTCAAAACGTTTGTAGGTTTTTTTCTCAAGGGAGTGGGTTGTGCAAGAAGGGTTTTTTGTGTTGTTTTGTTGGGGGGGGGGGTTTTCTACGCTAAAAATGTATTTTAAAGATGTTTTTGATTCAAGTCATCTTACATAAAAACAGATTGCATGAGAACATTTCGCGGCCTCGGTGCTTTCGTGTCGTATCTCTATTTTTTTAAACAGTGAAAATGTGACTTCTTCTTAAGCTCTTTAGCTTGTTTGTTTTTATCTTGTTTTAACTCTCTCGGGTTCGCCACTTTTTGAGAAAATTGTGTTCATTCACAACCTCTTCAGATCTTTGCCCTGGTGTGAGTAAGTCTTGTACTATAACCAGGCTTATTATGTATCTATGTAAAGGAAATTGAATGTAGAATACAGTAAAATGATAACAATTAATTTTTTAAATGTCTGCTTTCAGTGGTGACCTACTTTAACTGTTACTAAAAATAGATTGCGCGCACAATTTTACATGAAACTGACAAACATAAGGAAGGGAGAAAATAAAGTATGATCAGATTGACCCAAAATTTATTGATATGCTAAAAGAATGTCCATTTCTGCTCATGACAGACAAAGAATGAATAATGTAGGACCCATATGAACACTTTGGTGGCACATAGAAAATTACATGTATTTTGGTGATAATTGTTACCGAAAATAGAATTTTCACAAAATTCTTTGATTACTCCCATTGTGCCAAGATTAGGCTATGACATTTCTACAAAAACATTCAAATCACATTATTTGACAATAAAAGAAGAGAATTCATCATCTAAAAGGTTTATAAACCAACTGATGCTAGAAAAATTAAAACTTGAGCTAAAAAACAGTGACGAAAACATTTGTGCATACATTTCCACCCAGAGTATGTCATTGAATACAAAAACATCACTCATACTCATTAGCTGGATGATCTAAAAGAAGACAGTTTCTTGTGCTACTAAAACAGAAGTTTTTTCCACACTTGTTACATTTGACACTAGAAACTTTCTCAAGACGATAACAACGAAAACAATTTCTGCGCTAGAGATGGACGAGTCTCTTTCATTGCCGCAAGGTTGGCCTACTCGTAGGTGTATGTGCAGATCTGCAACACAAATGCCTCCATTCGAAAGAGTGAAGAAAGCACCTGTTGGAAAATAGATACACAAGAAAGAATCGTTGATAAAAGCCATCCATGATAACAGATATTTATATATGATAAGATAAATTTGATGGATCCACGAGAGAAATTTTAGGTGGATATATAGGCTATACCAGTACATCAACATACAACATTCAGCAACAACACAGCAAAGTACACATTACAAATTATACAACGCTCGCACCAATGCACCATTCAATCAAACAAATGTACACACACAGTACATCTGTGCGGGATGAACCCTTCTCTCCGTCTCGCTCATTCTTTTACCCTCTCTTCTGCCCCCCCCCCCCCCCCTCTGTTTCTCTCTTCCTCTCATGCAAGAGCACACACACAGAAATACACACACACACACACAAACTCTCTCTCACACACACAGTGTTCAACAGTGCAACAGTTAATTTTGAACGTACACAGACATCCCAATTTGTCCGTAAATTCTTGTTCAAAAGTAAATGAATAGTCAAGCAAAGCATATGAATTGTTTCATTATTTGAGAAAAAAAGCCTGAGCATTAGCAATATCTACTGATTTTTTATAGTCTTGTTGTAAAAAATAATGATTATAAAAATGCAAATCGAGCGGGGAAAAAATTCACCTTGTGTCAGATATTTCCGCATTTTGTTTGGTCCGGTCCTCATCGAGATGCAGGCCTGGCCGCAGCGTCGGCTTGAACTTGGGTACCTTGCATCGCCGCTTCACGTTACGAACCAATGAAGTCACCCCTGTCGGAAAATGCTCAGGAACAAGGCATGTTAGAACAAGTCCAGCAAGACTTTTTTTCCCACCACTCCAATCATACCACTCTCCAATTGTCAGACTCAGTTTACAAAAATGACAACTCGCAACTCACCAGAGCTCAGGCCACATAGACTCTAGATCTAAATAAATTATTCCCTTGTTCACATAAAAATTAAAAATTGATGATACATTTAAATTGAAACAAATAATAACAAACTGCAGTAGATAGCAAACGTTATCAATCAGTTGTAATGTTGTAAACTAAGAGAATTGTTTCAGGATCCGCCATTTTGAACGTAAACAAGCAGCTAGCAACCGCACCTTGGGTACAAAAAAAAAAAAGCCAAAAATATAATAAAAGCGAGAAAAACTTATCAATTCTAACCAATTTCTTAAGAAAACATCAAATTTTAATCATTTATACAATAAAACACACGTTTTAGTACCCCCCCGGGCCAATATTAGGTTTTGATAGGTCTAGCTGTTCATAGATGCTCAATGCAATCATCACTTACCAGTTGGCTGCACCGCTTGGTCCTGGTTCAGGACTTGCTACGTCATTGTCAGACTCTTTATCTGATTCAGAGTCTCTGTCATCGATAGAAAACTCACTAAATGAGTCATCTAGACCATAATCAAGGTCAGAATCGGACATTTTACTTGAAAACTTGTTCGTTTTTTGTGAAGACCGTCGAGCAGCTGTTCTTTGTTTACAAAATGGAGGCGAAGCAAACGAAAGCAGTTACGAAATTGAGGTCATTATCCGGGCACCTGTAACGGCTAACTCTTTCGAAAAAGGAGTTACAAATTGTGTATTTATAAAAGTTTAGCCATTCCTTTACCGAAATAAACCACATAGCAGACTCTAGGCAAATTTTTATAGCGACAGCAGGCTTTGCTCTGGGCCCACCGGCGATCGACTGATATCGGTCGATATAAAAGGGCGTGAACTCGAGAGAGTTAACCATTAGCAGACGAAAGTGAACCAGCTAAAATATCTCTACCCATACTCATTAATAAAAATACACGCAACGAGAACAAGATGTGTTGTTTCGTTGAGATAGTTTTTTGTTTTTCTCACATGTTTTTTGTTTTTTTCCTTTTTCCTTCTGTGTTGCTGCATTATGATTCCAATCTATAGCCTGGAGGAGGAACCATCCATCAAGGTAAGATATGATAAGGCAGATGGTTGGAGGGTGTTTCTTGGAGGTCCTACTTTGTGTAATTTTGTACCTCGAGGATAACATGCAGGGCGACTCTGAAGCTCTGGGTTTTTTTAGGGGAAAAGTTGAGTACTGTGCTCTGTGGTGTACAGCAAACAAAATGTTTTGGGCTGGTGATGAATGGGTTTTTTTAATACCTCCTAAAATGGGTAGTTTTTTTTGTTTTGTGTCAATGGTTAACGGGGGCCACTGGTAGGTCTAACTTAACTTTTTTACCGCTCCTCTTTTATGTGTGTCTGTCTCTCTGCACTGATTCTTTTTTGATATGTTGTTTGTCTTTTTTTTTTCGATTTGAGAAGTCTGTAAATTTACTGGGGTGGTGGATAATTGGAAAAGAAATTTTCTTCTCAATGCTGTGAATCTTGAGAAGTTGATCCTAAAAGGTCAGTTAATATAAAGTGTTTTTCCTATGGGAAATTGAGAGCAGGTGGTTTGAAGGTGCCACTGATAGGTCATACATCTTTACTGTGCTTCTATTGTCCCCTTTTGTCTTACCTTTTCCGGGGTGCCTTGATAGTGGAAGCAGACTTCGTGCTGTTGAAGCTAGAGAGGTGAGCAGAGTAAGCCCGATTCCCTAGCCTGTAGGGACTTCTCCGTTGACATCCACCCTTTGGCGCTCATATGACCGTATGCAGTTGCAAGCGCCGTAAGACCTCTACTAGAACTAAACAGTGACTTTTATTGTGTCGATGGGCTTCGCTTCTCTTTATTCTAACAAAGTGTCAAAGTCTCAAAATTGGGTGGCTGGCGGAAGCTGTGGTGTGGTTTGCTCCTTCTTTCCTAACGACATCTATTGTCCTTATCTCTCCTATTGCTTTTTGGTGTTTGTTATTCTCTTGTGATACGTCTAATCTTTGACACTTACCTGACTTTGTTGTGTTTTTGGTGCCATAAAACTCTTACGGTGAGTGGTTGGCGGGTGCTCTGGTGTGGTTTGCTTCTTCTTTCCTATCAAACATCTATCGTCCTTATCTCCCCTTCTTCTTTTTTATGTTTCTCTTGTAACACCTCGTCTTCTGGCGCTCATATGACCTTATTGTATTGCAAGTGCCTTGAAACACTTACTTACTAAAAATTTTTTAAGAAACGAAAAAAATTGAACCTTCCCCCCCCCCAGGTCAAGGGGGCTCAGCACAGACCTGGAACACCAGCAGGAAGAGACGGCAAGTGAGGTGAGTGGGTGACTTTTGACATTTGCAGTTTTGGCGATGCACTTCAGTTTTTTTATAGAGATGGTTGGAAGGGTGCCTTCCAACCATCTGTTTAAAAAGCACCCTTCCAACCGTCTGTTAAAAAAAAAAAGTGGTAGGTGTGATTTTCTGCCTCTCTGTTGATTTTGTCTATGCCTCATCATTTCCCCAACCCCCATCTTTCAGGTTGGCGGTAATTTCAGTGGTCCCATTTTTTTATCTCATATACGGTCGCTTTTAAGGACAAGCGGGCTAACCCAGATTTCGGGGGGTTCCTGAATTCTTGACCTACATCAAAAGTGGGTATTGCCCTACTTATAGAAGAAGTTTGGTTTCATTGGTGTGTATATTTGTATGGTTATAGAGAAAACTCTCCTTGTCTTTAAATGAAACTGAACAAGGTTCCAAAAGCTTTAACTTCGATTTTCTCAAAACAGCATTTTTCGGGACAGCCCCCTTGTGCTTAAAAGCAACCATATGTCATTGCATTTAGTTCTCTCATGAAAAGGGAGATAACTGTTCCTGTCTTTGCCCCACCATGCGCCCCCCCCGCGCCGGGTTTTATGTCATCACTTTCAGTCCCCTATTGACAGGAGAGATAGGTCATATATTTCCTCCCATATTTTGTGTCACTGCCAGGACCCCTGTGATAAAGCAGGTAAACTTTGTCCCTTCATATGGTCGCTTTTAAGCACAAGGGGGCTATCCCGAAAAATGCTGTTTTGAGAAACACCAAGGTAAAGTTTTTGCCCCTTGTTCAGTTTCTTTAAAAGACAAGGAGGGTTTTCTCTATAGCCAAACAAATATACACACCAATGAAACCAAACTTCTCCTATAGGTAGGGCAATGCCCACTTTTGGTGTAGGTCAAGATTTCTGGAAACCCCTGAAATCTGGGTTAGCCCGCTTGCCTTTAATGCGACCATATATCGTTGAAATTGCACAGGACAGCCACTCATTGTGGAGAAAAATGGTCATCTTAGACAGGATGTCTTGAACAATGTCATTTTTATGATTATTATTTTTTAACGCCTGAGGGAAAGTTGTCATTTGTACTGGTGATTGGGGTGGGCAGGTGGCTGAGCAGGTTTAACTTTATTTCATCACTTTCAGTAACTGCTAACTTTCTTTCTTCACTTTTACTCCTATTGAGACAAGGTGAGTAACTCTTGTGTTTCTTCTTTCCTATCAAACATCTATTGTGTTTATCTCCCCTCCTTTTTGTGTTTGTTACTCTCTTGTAACACCTCTAATCTTCTGGCGCTCATATGACCTTATGCAGTTGCGAGTGCCGTAAAACCTCTACGAAAACTAAAACTAAAAAAAAAAACCTCTTACTAAAACTAAGTGTCACTTTTTATTTCCTCGCCTTCCAGTCCCCGAGTGACAAGGGAGGTGACCCGGGACTGATCTACCGCCACCAGCTGTGCTCGGGCTCCACGGCCTTTCTCAATGGTCAGTACGGCCAGGCCCAGGAGCACTTCCAGCGGGCCCTACGACTGCTGACAGACCAGGTAGGTCATTTGGCTACTGCAGACCCGTCACGGGCAGTTGCTGCCATCTTTGTGATTTGTGGCGAGGCTCATCTCTTGAATCCAACAAACATGCCATCTTTGCTTTGTGTGTTTATGCTACTTCCATTAGTGGGTGCAGGGTTCCCGCGGCCTCCTTGAATTCAAGGAGTCCTTGAAAACTGCTTGAATTTGCATTCAAGGAAAAATCTCCTTGAAAACTCCTTGAATTTTGCCAGATCGGACAGGAACACGTGTACAGGGTGACTGCCAGGCCCCCGGGACCCCCTGGAATTACCCAGGAATTTGAAAAAAATCGCCGAGATCCGGAATGCAACGGGAATTTGAAGAAATCTGTAAATTGCCCCGTGAAAGACCCGCGGAAATACTTAAAAGTTCTCGAATATATTTGAAAACCAAATCCAATAACGTCCTTGAGTTCATTTTTGCCGGTCGCGATTGTGATATATTTATTCAGCCTTTCCTGGCATGAGAGTACATTACACGCGCACATGCCATGCGGTAATGGCGGCAACATGTGGAAGTATGTGCGATACCGGAGCTCGATCGGGAAAATCAAGATCTACTTTCGCTTTCGTTACCACCCAGAAATTTGCCGATAGGGCCTACAGTAGTCTGATAACGCCACATTTGTAACATGCAGGCTCTGCATTACATACGCTGTGTCGCCATGAAAATAAATCGTTTGTCCTGTGCTGTCACTTGTGTGAAAAAAACAAAAGAAAAAGAAAGTTATACAAGCTTCTTGTCGGGCTCGCCATCGTGACCGGTCATTGAACCTGTGCGTTTTCGTCACATCCATCGTGAGTATCGGCGATGGTTGAGGTCACCAAAGTTCATGCAAAGTTTGAGCGCTGCGAAGTATAGGACTCGGGAATGAGAGGGTTATTTTTTTTAAGACG